CTTTCGCGGAGAGGGTTGAGATGAACGGGAGAGAACGTCCAAAAGGAGGGCTGAGGAAACGGTTTCCTGCTTATCGTCGTTAGGATGTTTCGCGAGGAAAGATTGGTCGTATCTTAACTCTTTCTCCACCCTCGTTGCGCGGCACGACGTGGCGGTGGCGGCTTACGTCTCAATATTCTCGATCCTCGTCCTGTCCCTGTTCCTTTCGAACAAACATCGGGAGGCGTAAATCAGACCTTCTGTGAATCATTGAGTGGCTTCGATAAGATCAGACATTTTCACTTAGCGGTCACATGTAATGGTTAGATCACGTCAAATCGGGCAGCATTTCTTTATCACTCACATGTAATCCAAGGCGAGAGATATATAGTCTAAATTCAGATTGATCATGATCTGACATCGTTGACCACCAGTGTGTATCTGGCTTTATGGTTTGTATACTTCCAGATTTGGATAGAGTGATGATTCCTATCACGAGAGATTTCGAGTAGCTCAATCACACAGGTTCCCAAAGTGGGCTCTGAGGAGATCCGAGGGGGCGTTCTAGTTATTTTTTCTGATTTTCAATTTAACTTTTTAAGATTCACTTCCCTCGAAGAGGGCGCTAACAAAGAAAATTTTGGAAAGGCGACAGTGGGCCTACAAAGGTTGGGAAACTATGCTCTACTATCTCTTTTTGCGTCCAGTCGGTTAATCTTTTCGCTACAGCAGATTCCAACGTAAACCGTGCGTAGCAGACAGCTATCTAACCGAGATCGACGTTAGGAACAGCAAACATTTTTATCAGCGATAACCATTGCAGAAAATTCCTAGCTGCACCGGTAACAGTAGTCGCAACAGTTCTTGCAAATCATGCAAATAATAAGCACTTTGTAGCAGTCATTGTTACGAAAGCACATCACCAACAGTCAGTGTAGGGATATCGGTCAACGGGCTACGTAGGCGTCAACAGCACACTCTGACGGAAATCTCGAAACCAATAAGCAGCCAAAAAGGTTAACCAAGGTGACGTACAATCCTCCGACAAAAGTTGCAACGTGAAATGGATCGTGACAGAGGTTCTCGAAGCAACGATAGTTGAGTCCTTTCGGAAAAACAATCCCAACGTTAGGCCTCCACGCAAATGCCAACTTCATCAAAGGGGTCTCGAACGATACAGCTAACGTCTCGAGCTGAAAGCTGGAAAACCTCGAAGAGTATCGTGTAATAACTGTACGAACGGGCGGTATTGGTGCGGAACCGCGAGACAGCGACGTACGTCTCAATACGCGGAGAGATACTAGGGCCCCGGTCGAGCGATTAAGAAGAATGGGTGTGGTAAAAGAGTAAAGCGAGGAAAGAAGAACAGCGAACGAAGGAGGAGCGAGGAGGTGTACACATACCCATGGCATCCACTCTCTCCTCGGTTCTTTCCAGACTGGGCGCAGGGAGCTATCTCGATGGCTGCCCGCCTGCCTGTCTGCCTGCTTGCCTGCCTGCCTGCTTCGCCTTGCCTGCCTGCCTGCCTGCCTGCTTGGCCGGCTTCTCGACTCTCTCGATTACTTGAAAAACCGGATTCCTCCTGCGCGAAACTGTGTTTCCCGTCTCGTGTTTATGTACCAATACACGTCGCGTAACAATGTTGGAACGGGACGTGCACACGTGCACGCACACACGAGGGCTTGGGCTAACGGCGCGATTCTCGCCCGCGTGGTACCGCGAGACAACTGCTCCCGATCAGGATCGAATCGTTGGACGGAGATGGCCCGTGGAGAACGTCGAAGACGACGTTGTAGATCTGGAAAGAAAAAGGGGGTAGGTGGAGAAGGTGGGGGGAGAAGAAAGAACGTCGGGGTGGGTGGCGTTGGTAGGTACTTAAAGGGCCACGGATGTCATCGGCCGTAGTCGGAGGGTCGGTGTTCGAGGGTTAAATCCAAGGGTTTCGAGAGGAGTCGGTGTCGAGGGTAAACATATACACGGCGAAGTGCAAATAACGCGCGAAACGGAGACTAGTTGTATGGTGTACTACGTCGGATGGTTGCTCCGTCGATTTCTTCGTCGCTTGGTAAGAACAATGGGGACGTAAGAGAGAGTATGCTTCGGGCCCCCGGGGAGGATCTCCGCGGACAAAGGGCAAATTTTCCAAATAATTTCACCGTTTCCCCACCGTTTGGTGGTGGTCACTCGAGCAAGGGAGCGCGCGGGGGCCGCGTTTCTTCGTCTTTGCGGCCGACCAAGCGCCAGGGCTAAGGAAAAAATAAAAAAAAAAGTACAAAGGAAAAGGAGGGATTCTCTACGGGTATACCGTTTATCCTCAGGGCGAACATCGAAGGGAATATTCCGGGTGCATTCGCGGTCCTACCTTCATCTCTGTTCAACCCCCCTCTCTCTCACTCTCTCCTTCTCTGTCAGTCGCGTCTCTTACGGGGTTCTGGCTCGCGGGGCCTTCGTAACATTATCTTTTTCGAGGCGGTTTCCAGCTGTCCGTCGCCACGGCAGTCGGCACGAGGAAAGTCTGGACTCGTGCTCGCGACGCATAACAAATTCCACCTGTGTGTAGACGGCTCTCTCGGCTTCCATTCATCTGTCTGTCCGTGAACGCGCAAGCGAACACGACGGGAAACGAAGAGCTAGAGGGAGATATAGAGAAAGAAAGATGGGCAGACTCACCGGAACGCTCATTTAGCCCGGCAATTTATTCTCGCGTTTTGTAATTAACACCAGAGAAAAGAAGTAGCGCGGTCTCGTCCTTCTCCTACGGGCACACACGAGGGTTTAGGTGACCGTTCTCTCTCTCTCTCTCTCTCTCTCTCCACGGGTCGCTGGCCCACCTCCGCCCCCTACGCTCTTCTTCCTTCGATTTCGCTTCTTCTTCTTCTTCTTCTCCATCTCTGTTCCCTCCCTCCCTCCTCCACACGTTCGTTCCATGCGAGAGAAAACACTCGTATCGTTATTAAGCGAGCTCGGGAAGTCGGGACCTGGCTGGATCCGAGAAACCTCGTGGACGAAAGAGAGGAAAGAAGAGGCGGAGGTGAGCGAAGGATAACCAGAGAAAAAGCGAGATCCGCAGATACGACGAGAGTGTAGTGGAAGGAGCGATAGAGAGGCGGACGAGGTGGAAGAGGGACACCGCGGGAGAGAATGCGCGCGGTCAGAAGGGCTCGGAGATCACGGGAGAAGGGAAGAGGATGAAGAAGTTGAACGAAGAAGGAACCACCGAGCTAAAGGGCGTCGAGGGGGTGGGGAGGGAGGAGGCAGAGAGGTGGATGATGGAGGCCTCTCTCCTCTGCATGCCACTGCAGTCAGGCCAGACAGAAAGCGGTCTGTATAATTATGGGTTGTCACCTCATCAGCCACGAGAGGGGCAAGGAGGTGGCGGTGCTGCTTCGTCCCGCGCGGACGCAAGGGTGGGAAGTTATAGGAGCGCGGTCTTTAGCTCAAATTGTGTTTTATCGTCCCTCGCGTTTCGCTCTTGGGCTTGCTCGCGACGACCGCCGCCGACGATGGATCCTCTCCCCCGTCTCTTTCGATGCTTCTTCCAGTGGAGGCGATTCTTCGTTTTTCCACGATCTGCTTTCTACGTTGCGATTCCAATCTCGTGGACGGGGGAGGACGAGGGCTTCGCTCGCCTGAACTCTCGGTTTCGGTCGGCCGTCTCGAAACGTCTTCATCGGTCATCACGACGCGTCGAGCGCTATCGCGACCGTGCAAATAGCTATTGTCGGGGTTATAAAAATCGTCGAACGCGCGTTTTAAGTATCCCCGACGATCGGAACGTGCCACGCCGTACTCTGTCGATACCCCTCCATCTTTCTTCTTCGCCGATCTTTCGGTTTTCTCGCTCTCCGTCCGTATCCTCGCGCGTGTGTACGCGTATCTCGCTCTCTCCCTCGATATCTCTGTGCACACGTAGCAATCTGCCGCGAGGGTAGAGAGCAGCAGCAGCAACACAGCGTGCGCGTATACGAAAACGAAGGCGGGAGATGAAGCGAGGGAGGGAGGATGAGCTACGCGCGAGAAGGTACTGAGGCTAAGTGGAGAGTTTAGAGGGATTTCATTAAATCATATGGATTGGGGATAATGTATGTTATTGAGCGGAGCGTTCAAATCGCGCTCTATAAGTTGTAATAAGTCCAATTTTAGGGCCGGTCATGGGCCGGGTCCCACAGTGGTTGTCAAACCGCTCCGAGGTATGTAGCTCCATCCCGGGGGCCGATCCGGCGACTGGGCCGAACGGATACACGTGGGATCCGACAGTCACTGGGTCCAGCAAACCCGCCACTTACTCGTCAAACGGCCAGCCGGTCCGCCGAAATCACTGCCATTTAGATAATTTGTAATGAATAGGCACCGATCATTTTCTACCCCCTTCCTACTAACCCCAATACTTCCCCCACCCGCCCCCTCCCGTTCCGACCCCGTTGCACCGAACCCCTGCCCTCCAACCCGTTTCTACCTCCCATTCGCAACCGATCCTCCCAATCCCCGTCTCGCAATAGCATGTCGTCCTCGACGTCATCTTTACCCACGAACTGGAGAGATCCCGAAACGAGGTGTCTACCTGGCTCTCCTTCGACGATCGTCGAACCTCCTGTTCGCCCGTGTAGAACGTCGTTCCGGGTTGTATCACGATTTCCGTATTCCTGACCGTTCGGGCGACTTCGTGCGCGCGCGCGCAAACTTGGACCATCTCTATCTCCGTAGGGATCGTGGAGATCCAGCGCAGTCCTGCTGTTTGCCCGCGATCATCCTCCCACCCCGTCGACAACTGGGATATCCCGTTGACGCGACGAAGATATATCGGCCGGAGGGGGGACACCGTAGAGACCTCGAAACACCGAAAATCCACCGGTGTGTCGGGGCGGAATCCTCGAGTAAATATGTGCTCGGTATTTGCGGGCGAGGATACACAGACGGACATCACGTTCCATTGCTCCTCTTCGTCCAGCGTTCAACCACCGTACACATTGTGCTCCACCTGCTTCACGTTAACATCCTTCCGTCTTTTTTTTTGCTTACAGACGTCCCGAGGATGGAGAAGTCGCCGTTGTTGGCGAACGGTTACAATCATCCGCCCACCCACCTGAGTCACATGCAGTTCATGCAATTGGGCGGCCATCCAGGCGCGGGACACACAGCGATCCTGTCGCCTGCTAGTCTGCCGCACCACCTGCAGGCCCAGGCACAGGCGCGGGCCGAACAGGGGTTGAAAGTCAATCCGAACATGTCGAACATGGAGGCCCTCGCGAGGTAAGTTTTTTTCGATACATCGTATAGACGATAGACGGACGCGATTGGAGATATAGTGAATAATCGATGAGTGTTCAGACGGCATCCCCATCGTAGACGGGAAAATTCATTATCTAGATCAGGCGTTGGCAACCTTTGACCCGTGGGGTCATTGTTACTCTATTATTTATATTTTCTCAAAGTGTTTGTTTCATGTTTATGTTCTATAATTTATATTTATATATTGTACTTTATTTGTGGAACTCAAATGGCTCACTTGAAATTATTAAATGGGTTATTTGGTGACCCGCGGGTCAAAGGTTGCCGACGCATGGTCTAGATAAACAGTTTCGAATAACGAATAAAAGTCAGGATGACAATTTTGGATATTTCTACTTTTCACTATGTATTTTTCGAATAAAATTGTGTCCAACTCTGATCCCCCCACCACCGGATGCTTGACTCGTTTAGTGGGACTTACTGTAGTGGGAGAGAAAGACATTGGTATTTTGGGAGAGAACCGATAGGTTGTCCGATTTGGAAATTGGATTTGCTCGTTTCAAGCTCTTCCGCGGAACAGTCGCGCGCTAGTCCTGTCCCGGGGAGGTCGCGACGAAGGGCCGGCGAGGCCAAAAGAATACAACTTTAAGAGGATTTGAAGAGACGGAGAGAAGCCGTGGAAATCCAAGGGGTCTCGACACTGCTTGATCTTTTCTTCCCTCTCTGTCATTCTCTCTCGCGCTCTCTGCCTTCCAGCAGACCGATGATAGTCCGCTCGAAGTCCGTTTCCTTGGGTGCCTCGTGTTCCTTGTAGGTCGTTTACTCGGGGCTCGAATTACGCGCGACCTAAACCGGAGTCCACCCTTATTCCGCGTGTCGTCGCACAGTAGAAAAATCCTAAATCATTTTATTTAGTTCACGAGACTCTTAAATAGCATATTTTAATTTGGAAAAGGATTCTTTAGAGTGTCAATCAATTTTCTGTGCCAGCAATTTTATTTGTACAATACATACTTGTACAAATATTCTTCATTGCAATTGCCATGTGTGAATAATAGCGAAGATACGAACAAAATAATTGGGATATAGAGAAGATCGCAACTGTATGTTGTTACCGATTAGAATTTCTTTTCACCGGCCTTTGTTCACATTACAATTGAATACCACTAAGAAACCAGTTTCACACTAGTGGTCAAAGACAGTAGAAAAAAAGTGAGGAATCTCTTCGAGCCTTACCACGTTAGTCCTTGTTCGATGTACCTCTCGCGAGTAGACGCTTCCGAGTAACCGAACGAGTAAATCCTCGAGGCGTTGCGGTCTCGAGACGTATATCGCGGATTACGCGACTACCCCACACCCCCTGCGTTCAGTCAATCGGGAGAAACGGGACAGGCAAGGGGTTCCTCGAGCCATCGAAGGAGAGATTCCTGTGTTTCTCGGGAAGAGGGTAAACGCCGAGGCTAATCCCGGCATTTGTTAACGCGTTTCTAATAGATGCTGTTAGTGCGGGGCGATGGTCCCTCTTCTCTCTAAGACTCCTCTCCGAGAGCCACCGGGGGCTTTCGTGGATACAGACGCTCTTGCCTTAATTTTCGATTATATCCGCCCGGTGCAATTAGCCTCGTCTCCCAACTCTCTCGCCGTTAGCCGTTCGAGACGGCTTCTCTATCTTCTCGATCTCTCCACCGAACAGTCTCTCTGGAGAGTTTTCGAGAATTCCTAATAGACGTCGGAAGGGAAAGGACAGAGATACATTTTAACAACGGCAACGCACGCGAAATCACGTCGTCGTCGATTCTTCTTAACGCCGACGCCCGGTGGCGGACACACAGTGGTCCTTCCGTGGCTATACGCCGTTCTACGTGTAGAAACGACACGCCGACGGAGGCGACGGCGCCGCACGTTTCGCATTATGATTTCAGCGCTTTGCTTTTAATTAAAATGCAAATCTATCGTGGCAGAGGAGAGCGAGAGAGATCGGGAGGTAAGACGGATTACGTCTGGGGGCGGCACGACAAACACCGGAATATGATTAATTCAACGCAACCCCATCCTGGCGCACCGCCGTCACCACCGTTGCCCTATCGCCACCCTCTAATTCAGCCCCGAGCCCTTGCCTCCTTGCACCCCCCGCGACCTACGCGAGCTCTAGTTCATCGCGGAACGTCCTTTCGATCTACGTCCACTCGGCTGTCGAATCCTTCGATTTCTCAGCCCCCGAAACGTTTTACGTCACTGTTTTCCTGTTCTTATCCCGCGTATTCGGTCGTCTTGCGTTTTTCGACGGTCGATACACCGTCGGAGAGCAAATTAGCCCAGAGTGTCTCCGGTGGCCCAGCGACGTCTTTTTTAATCAGCGTGTACTTCAAAGCGTCTTTTGTTTCGAGAGTCGTCGGGACGAAGCGCTGATCGAGTCAAAGGACAAACGAAAGACGAGACGGAACGGAGGAGGACTCTTAATCAACTCCGCGGATCCACTTTCCTCGAGGATATCCCGTGGCAGGGCTTATAATTAACCGATTCGCTTATCAACTCGTGTCCCCCACACCCCCCTTGTACCATTCTCACAAGGAGACACTCTCACAACGAACTTCTTAGCCAACTCTCACCGAGTCTTTACCGTAGTTTAGTTCTGAATATGTTTGTATACGTGGTAATGAAGTCAACCTGGTTGCTTACGTGTAAAAAATGAGGGAGCTCCACCTGGTACATGTATCTCAAGTGTCGCATTTTTTTTTTTTGTGATTCACAGATCCGGAACGGTTTGGGAAAACTGCCGAGCTGCCTACGAGGATATCGTCAAGCATCTCGAAAGGTAGGAAATTTATATTTACACCTTACATCAAAGAGGTGGTGGGCTAGAGAAATCGATGTCGAATCTTCCTAGCCACTTCTTTCGAATAAACTACAGCTTGAAGAAATACACTACTGAAATAACTACCAGTTTCGCCGGTAAAAAGTGCGACCTGCCGTGATAGCTCTCGCGGGAAAAACGTAGGCTCGGGACCTACGGCTCGGGGACAAAGCGCGCAGCGATTGCGTGTCGCGCCCGCGACGATCGGTCGCCACCGATAAATCAGCATTACCATCGGAGTTTCCGGTACGCGCCGCGACACGTTGAGTCCGTCGCTTGACGCCGTAATGCCCGCGTGATTTGTACGGTGCGAGGCCACGCACCATCCCCCTCCTTCTCCATGCCGGCCTCAAATCCATCCACCAGCAGAGCCGACCCGGTCGGGCCGTCACCGATACGACACCAACGTCGACCACCGACTACCGTTCACCCCGTACAACACATCCAACCCCCCCCCCCTGCCTCATCTACCATGGTTCGACCATCCACCCCCATCCACCATCCGCCACCGAGGTTTCCCCGTGATCCTAACCACTTGTCACTTCACGGCACGCAGATCATCGTCGCGACGTGCCCGTCCATCATTCGGGGATTAAATCATTCGACTGGCTGGGAAATGGTCCTCCCTATCCCGCGACAGGAGAGAGGGTTGTGCTCCTTTTCGACGGGGAGCTTTACTTCGTGAAAAGCGGCTCTTTCGCTCCCGCGGATTCGCTTCGAGAACTTCGCGCCCTTTGCATCGAAAGCTTCTCTCCTGTTAACCTCCCTCTTAGTCTTCGGTATTGCACCGAATCGCAAGGGGGCAAACGAAGCCGAGAACAGAAAGGTGCGAGAACCCCTACGTCTGGAGGGGGACGGTTGGATCGGCGTTAACGCGAGGGTTGAAAATCGACACTTGACTGGAAACGTAATTTCCAATTCAAAGGCAATGACCATTGGCTCGCTACTCTCTCCACACCCTCCCCCCCACCCCCCGCGAAACCGTTCCCTCTCATCACCAATGTGTCCGCCCTTCGTCTGTCGGTTCCGCGCGCACATCCACCCCCCGTTCGACCTCTCTGTCCGTCCCGTTCTATTTGCTTTAGCGGCCCCCGAGTCGACTTCGTCAACCGGACAAACGCGTATTGTGATTTCGGCCTTTGACTGGTAGCCGTTCGATGGATATCGCAGGGGGTGGCAAATGGTCGCGCTGACCGATACAGAGAGAGAGAGAGAGAGAGAGTGAAAAGTGGGGGTGGGGTGGTGAATCGGCGCGATGCGGAGGCTGGAAGGGACGGACGAGCGAGCCACCGTGAATATTCATGCCGAGAGAACCCTAGACGAATTCGGACTTGTTGCGACTGACACTGATGTAAACCTTTGTTTATCCTGCGTGTGCACCATAACCCTCGCCCCTCCCCTCCTCCACCATCACCAATCCACCCGCATTCGTTCGCTCGCGGATACAAGCAGTCGGCGTCGGGTACGAGGGCAGGCCTCGAGTATTTAACTGCGAGTTAAATTCTGATTAATCGTCGGCGCCCGGGGTTATTAATTGTTTGTCCTTTTGATTCTACCGAGCCCACCGTACCTCGACTCGCGCCGTTCGAAATCTCGTTCTCCCTCTGCGTCGGCCGTTCCCACCCTCTCACGCCTTCGTCGATCCCCTTTCGGTTCTTCTTTCGGACTCTATTCTCCAGCTCCCTCGATCTCTCTCCGTCTCTCTGCGTTTCCGTTCTAATCCCGATGATTTGTTGCCGGTGATCCCGCTCCGAAACACCGGGCTCGGTCCCGAAACCCAGAGAGAAAGAGAAAGAGAACCGTAGTAGCCCCCCGGTGGAGTGTGTTCGTTCCGTCGCGGAAGTTGTACCCGCTCGTTTGTCTTTCCGGCAGTCACGCTCGATTAAATCTCATAAGCCCAGAAACTTAACCCCCATCCGACGAACGAAAAAAAAAAAAAAAAAAAAAAAAGAAAACAGTTTGATACACTCGGCGCAAGACCCGGGCGGGTGGTTTTTCGCTTTCCGTTTCGAAATACGTATGTAACACTCCCGCGGTTTCGATACTCTTCCCTGTTCTTGTGCACTAACGACCAAAAGTAACTACGGGACATGGTTGATGAAACAGTAATTCATTACAGTAAATTCTCGATGAGTAGATAGAACTTGGAATTCTGAAGGCAATGATAATTGTTTCAGCCGGGCATATAGCCATTAGTTTATGAAATATTTAATATTCAGTGCCCCGAGGAGCCTTCGAATACTCATCGAGGATTGACAGTATTCTGTTACGGTGTAATTAAATGTTACAAAAGTTACAGATCAACTCTCCCTTTCTTTAATTATCAGACCTAGTTTCATACCTCGTACGTATCGGTTCGACGGTGAATATTTCGACAGAACCAACCCCATGAAAAGTGGAAAGCTCGCTGGCCGGAGGGAGGGGGATGGGAACGGATCCGAAACACGGAAACGAGCGAAGCGACGGATTCGTCTACCCCTAGCGCTGGCTCCGTCCGCGTGCTAAGTAATATTAATGGTCCCCGTCCGATGGCAGAACGCGCACGGTGGTATCAATGCGCTAATGTCGGCTTCCTGACTTTAAAACTACCCCGTCATTCCGGGATAATTCGGCGCGCATTGTCGCTCGCTATCCGGCCACGTCGGTTTTGCCTACCTTCACGGAGCACCCTTCGCGATGGCTGGCTTTCCTTATCGTTGGGTTCGCCGAGGTCCCGGCAGAGTTACCTCGAAAATTTCCTCCGCCCCCATCCGGGTTCTTTCTCGCCCCCACTCCCACCCCCTGGCCTTTCTCCTCTTTCCGACGAACGCGCCGCGTACCCTCCGGAGACGTCATTAATTACAACGACGACGACAACGTCGACGAGCTTCTATCGTCTGGGACATCTGCTGGAAAATAATATTCATAAAGTTGAGCCCCGTCGTTACGAGAGTCGTTTTCTATCCATCTTCGCGCGTACTCGATCCATCGCCCCCACCCACCCTCATTCCCAGTGGCACGCAGCCGACTGTACAACGTTGCTCTTGTTTGTCGTCTTCTTTCATTGAGAGGATAATTCGAGGAAAAGGGAATCGAGTTCACTGGTTCACGGAAGATTCGAGGGTGTTTTGCGATTAGAAGGCGAGGGGTTAGTGGTTGTGGATCTGTGGATGGTGGTATTCTTATAATTTATTTAGAAAACTCCTATAGTATACAACAATGGAGAATCATAACTTTATACTATCTTTACACGTGACAAACTTTTCATATTTTATTATTCTTACCTTTGATCGAGGAGCCCTTTTGACATATCTGAACGAAATTACAAATCTGAAAGTTTCTATTGTATTCGTAACAATGCTCAACACTAGAATCCCATGAAACGAACGAGACGAATGACCAATAATCTCTTATTTCGCCGACAAGCTTTTAAAGTCACATTCAAAATTACGCCGTACTGTCTGGAAGAAACTATACTCACAGGTGTGAAAAAAATACATAACTTTTTATTTCGTCATTTAGCATACATAGCCAATACGACAACACCGGGAACGAACACTCCCTCCACACTCGGTACATCATCAGAACCTCCCTTCCAAGCACAATTTCTTCTCCCAAAAGAAAAACAATTGCATCCCCTTATAAACGTTCACTCTCCCGACTAAACGCTTGGACAGAAAGAAACAGAACCGCGAAGAATCCCTAGTGGTTTGTCGCTAAACGGTCCAGCGATCACAGGCTACTCGCGACAGCGGAGGAGAGGCGCGACGAAACGGTTAATTCGATTCGACGATCGTTGTCGCGATAGCGAGCGTGTTAAGCCGGCAACTATCAAGCGGCGGGCACGCTAATTGCGTTCAAACGAACTGTCAGCGGCTCGACACGCACGCGTGCTCGCGTTCGCATCTCTAAGCCGCGCGCCGGTCCCGCTTCACCCCCCGCGCAAATACGCGCATTATGATTAATGCCGTCATACACGCGTGTGCACGGGGCCCTCTCCAGGCTTCGGGCTTGTCAGCGTCCCGCAACCACCGGATACGCCAATTACGCTTCCGTCCAAACGTTTATTGCCATTGACTCTCTGACGTTTCGTACTCTGTCCGTCTCTCTCTTTCTCTCGATCTATCATCCGTGTGTGGGTGAACCGGCTGCGTTGGATTTCGACGGACGTGTTCCTGGATCAATCCTCGATCCGGTGACTCACGAAAGAATCACGCGGAACACTCTTAGAAACATCGAAATTAATGACAGAGCGCGGGTTACGATCACGATCGGTCCTACAGACGAAGCGCGTATTAGACACGCTATTTCTTTTGTCTTCCCCCGTCTCATCTTCCCCCGTCACAACCACTCGTCGATCTCCACGTTTCGGTATATAATCGTTCCACTCGTTTCTTGCGAACGTTTACACGAAATCGTTTCCGTGGGCGATTCGTAATGCCGGCCGACCGAATGATTTAGAGATCGATCTCTTTATAGAAGCTTGTGTGCGTGGGCCTCCTCCGATTCGATTCGTTTCTGGTTCAGGGTCTCTCTTAAATCGTCGATCGTACTCTTCAAGGATGCTCTCGATTTTCTTGACTGCTCGCGTGACCCGATGATCCCGCAGGGAACACGATCACCGCTGGGTCTAGACGTGGAATCGTTGATCGTTCTGCGACAGAAGGATCGGTCGATAAATACGTGTGTCGGTCGGTTCGTTCCCTGAAACACGCCGGTCCCCCTTCGCTCGTGCCAAACGTGTCCTGGACCCGAAAAACGGACCCTCTTCTAATGACCCTATTGCGAAACGATCACGTTTATATTATTAACTCGATCGGTCGGAATTATTTATCGACGACCGTGGGGCTGCGCTCGATGGCCCACGTGGTCGGAATTTTCGTCGAGTTTCGGGGCGATAATTAACGCTCGCGCCGCGGCCCGTTAACGACCCCGAGGGTTTTTTTACACCGTGGATCGTTCGTTGCTTCGCGCGTTGCTCG